TCACACCCCTCGCGCCACCAAGCCTGGCGGGCGTAAACTGCGAGCCCGACGGGGTGGGGCTGCAGGGTTGTACCGGACGCTCACCAATAGATAGCCTCGCAGCACGCCGCAACATCGCACGAACAAAGACTCGCTACCGCTCGGCCGCCACACCCCACAGCGCGCCGGCCCTCACCTGCAGCAGCACCCCACACCAGCAAATCCCCCCCCCGAACGGCAGGCGTGAGTCGGCGCGGCCAACAACGGAGATCGAAAGCGCCGCCCGTACCCAATCAAATTGGCAGAGACGGTCTAGCTGTAGGACCGAAAAAAAGACAAAACCTGACGAGCCACGCGACAACCTGATTAGCGCGGGGCCCACGAGGCTCAGCGGGACACGCCGGCTACAGTGATCCGAGCCTGACCGCGAGATCGGAACAACGAGGGGCCGAAAAGGTACGACTAGAACCCGCGAACCGCCCGCCCTTCACTGGACCGGTCGGTGCGTCGCGAGCGTGAGGATTCAACGTAACGTATGCGGTGGATGAGTGGTGAGTGAGTGCTATGGAGCTCGCGAAAGAGAGTGAAAGTGAGCTTGGCGCATACGAGTGAGCGAAGTGCTGAGTGACGCTGAGGCGTCGGCAATGAGGAGTGTGGACTGCGAGTCGAAGTAGTGAGTCCTAAGGTGAGTGAGTGAGCTGAACTGAGCGGGAGATGCGAAGCTGGGTGAGCACGAGTGAGTGGATGAGTCTGTAGTGACTGATAGCACGGCTTGAGTTAGCATAGACCTTACATCAAGAGCCGCCCTAATATCAATGAGTCGCGATACGCTTCGTCCTAATATGCGCACAGACTAGCTGAGTCGTCTTGCGATATTTGCGAGGCCGACGTCGGAGTTGAGAAGATGAAGTAGTGACGGAGACTTTGCGCCTGACTAGCTAAATCCGCACTCTCTAGTATCGCGACTCTGCATCTCTCTAGTGATTAAAACGCGGAGCAGTGAGGCAGCGACCGGAGGCAACGCCCCCACGAGGAGCCGAGAGCGAGCTCGAAGGCAAGGACTGCCGACAGAGGCCGGGAGAGGGATGAACGCTCCAGGGTAGGAAAAGGCTAGGCAGAGAGACGAGTGAAAAGAGACGGAAGACATAAGTTAAAACGATAATGACGTCGATAAAGGTTGAGGAATATGCAAAGAGTGGATGCGTAAAGAGGATATTAATCTCAGGACTATTTGAAAGAGTCAGAAGTATCGGAAATCGCTAACCCGATAGCTATGTTAAGGAAGTGTAAGTATCTCATATTAATGTTAAGATTGTTAAGGCAGTAGTATAAGATATAAACTTGATGAGTTAAATATGAATTGTAAGATAGCGAATTCCTTACGCTATTCATTCTAGTATGATCGACAACTCGCTATGTATGATTATCGTAAATCTATGTAATTTAACCTAAAGAGCTTTTTATAGTAGTAGTATAATAAATATATAATACACATTATAGAATCAGAGCAAAGCCTATATAATACATATATCTATAACGAATAAACTGAGACAGTCAACTAAGCAACGACTATAATCGAGAGCGAAGGCTGAACACAAAGCCAAACCGGGACATCAGGTTCTATTTCACACAAATGAATTATATCTCTTTGGCTCTGACCGAGCGCAGAATAATTTTATGGTATGGCATTAACCAATCTTGCCTCCCTAAAACAATACAACGCTGTCAATACAACTCCCTAGTCTCGATCATTGGCTCGCCTAAACCCTCCCCTACGATAACCAACCAATGCACTCGCCTTCGCATAGGCCGCAGATGAGACGGCATGACTAAGAACGAGTGCCGATGGGTTTATCCGAAGTGCTGGCGCGACTCCTTGCGCCGCAGTCACCGCGCTGCAATGGCACGCGACCAGTGCGGAACTATCCTACAAGTAATCAGCCTGCAGCTAGATACCGGGCTCCGAAGCATAGGCCCAGAGCGACACAAGAATCCATGCATAGACGTGCCGAGCGAACAGGCGCCAATTTGTAGTGGGGACACAGAGCGCCAAGAACATTTGGCAACGGAAACAGTGCACGGTTGATCACAGAAACTGTACAAACAGACGTAAGAGAAATTCCGTTAACGAGAGCTGGGCTCGACAGGACGAGAAGTCACATGAAAAGTGTGGTATAGTGGTAATCGAGTGGAAGACGGAGGGCTTGAAGGTGGTAGAAGGGCGCTGGGACGTGTGGAGGTAGTCGGGCTGACGAGGGGGGGTGGGATGGTGATGAGGAGCGGCGTGGTGTAGTGTCGGTTGCGCGCCGAAGCGGTGGCGGCGGCCGGCAGGCCCGGAGTGGCGTCGTGGTTACCCAAGACCTGCTACGCCTGCGTACGGGCCAGTGCAGAATTGGAAGAGCTGTCAAATCAGAATAGGCACCGGAGCTGGCGCCTCGGTAATGACTCAGTTGTTGCCCATGACCACACACGAACCTGATGCATACGGTGTTGGCAAACGTGCAATGGCGAGGCGCTCGTTACATGTAGAGTTGCAAAGCAGTGCCGAGCAACGCCTGCCGCCGCTATAGCCCATAGACTGAGATAAGAAATGGACCAACTCCACGCTCCCCGACCCTCGGCTTAGCTTAGTCACATAACGATCTATCGCGGCTGGGAGCGAGATCCAGTCGATATAAGCCCTTTGCACCTCGCAAACTTCACGACCAGAGATAGGCCTATACTAGAAACAGGAAGAATTTGGTTAGTAAAAGAAATTTCGTATAGGTAGCATTATATCTAATTGAAACGGCCTTCACAGTGCTGCTACTCTAGTTCATAATCCGGAGCGAAATCCTATACCCGCGCAAAAGCCGTTCTCTTGAGACTATAGTAGTAGTATGCAAGTACAGGACACTACCGCAGAAGTGTGTATATGGTAATACTCTAGTATAACTAGAATTACGAAAGTTACACACACACACACACACACACACACACACACACACACACACACACACACACACACACATACACAGATAACTGTAACGGGCAATGCAGACACTACATGCTGCGGTCATATTCAATGCTAGGAATGCATTGCCTTCGGATAGTTGGTACACTCACACATGTATACACACACACATCTGCCACAAGACGTTTTGATTCGATTAATCCAGGCGTGAAGAATTAGAAGTATTACAATCACATGGGGAGCTATATTGTGATTAACACGTTCTTGGTTACTATGTGCCTCTTGGTCACATATAACTTTACCACAAAGTGTTTGTGTCCATTGAAGCTACGCAGTGTGTCATTGCCACACGTTGCGCAATATAAGCTGCTGAATCTAACCATTCCTCAACATGCAATTACACGCGAATGTAACACTTGTAACGTTATTAATAGAGGTGGACATTCTCTGCTGTATTTAGCTGCCTAATACAAAAAGTCAAGCATCACAATTATCTATAGCGATTTTATGACTGATGACCCACTTATGATGTTTGCGTTTGCTGTGATCACACGAACCCACCTTATCAGGAGTAAGATAATATAGGGGTCCTATATTATCTTATTATCTATTATATTATCTTATTATCTATTATGGTGTCTTATTATATTATATTATCTATATTATCCTATATAAGATCCTATATTATCTTACTCCTGACCTTATGCATTCACTTGGCAATATATGGTAATTAGATAGATAAATGATATATGCTATAACTGACAGTACTGTAGACCATTACATACGAGATATACTAAATAGCCTCTCATCTTCTCAGTGACGCAAATTGTTTCATCTATTTTATAACCTGAAGACAGATATTTTATATGCTAGACTAGTACGATATGAGGTTGATTGGAATAGCTAATTAATACTAGTAGATGGACGACCTTCTAAAACCCATTCAGCTACATATATAATGCATGTGCCTCTGGCACTATTGATCAATATTAGAAGGTAAACTTCGTTATATATTTATTCAAAAGTGCCTTTCTGATTCCCTCATTACTGCTGGCAATTAAACATGAAAATGGGTTAGGGTGGGATGAGTATTCACATTATGAATTGAAACACAAGCGTGAACCTGCACCCCATAAAGTCGACCATGATACCAAACACCTCATTAGACACGTTTTTAATGTGCTTATCTATTAAAAAAAACATTATATTAAAACCAAGTAAAACATTGTTGCCTGCAGCCACTGCTACGTATATTGTAAAACTGTAGCTCTAGGTGTCTCACTCTCAGTGCAGATCTATGCTATCTACGGTCAATGACGCTCATAGGGTCTATGTCCCCCAGGGTACTGCCGGAACGTATCCTGGTCACTATTTGATATGGTTAGGGTTAGGATTAGGGTTAGGGTTAGGGTTACATGGACATGATGATAACACGTTCCATGGACATGATGATAACACGTTCCATGGACATGATGATAACACGTTCCATGGACATGATGATGACACGTTCCATGGACATGATAACTACAACATGTTCTATGGCCACGATAACGGCAGCACCTTTTGTATATATGATAACGATAGCAGGTTCCACGAGCATGATAAAAATAGCACGTTCCATGGGCATGATAACGATATCACATTCTATGGGCATGATAATGATAGCATAATGATACTATTCCTCGACCATGATAGAGATGCATGTTTCATGGCGTCACAGCGATAGTATTTCAGATGCCGATCAACATGGAAGGAACGCCATCGTGTCGTTATTGCTGCACAAGCTATCGGCTTCTCGTTAGGTGTGTGACCGTAGGAACGCTGACAGTGTACACCCATACTCGTGCAGATATAACAGGAGGGCATGTACAGGCGAGTCCGCCGCACTCATGAATGCCACGAGTACGTGATGTCATTGTGCAATAGTCAACATTCTAGCTGGTCTCTTCAACTGCTGCACCACACGCAACAAACACAGACGCTTTGTACAACTTTTACAACAAGTCAGTAGCATCATAGTTTCGTCATGACACCACCCCCTTCCCTCCCTCCCACTCTACCGCTATGACACCACCCCCTTCCCTCCCTCCCACTCTACCGCTATGAGCGCGCGTACTCAGCGCTCTGTGTGATGCGAACAGTGCATATTTGAGGAGAATTGATAAATCACCGTCGTCATAGTCGGTGTGACCTTATAATTACAAAAAATACATACACATGAATTATAGCACGTTTAGTCACGAACTTACTCCACCCATAACAAACTCAGCTTAAAGAGTTTAACTCGCTGCCAGAGACGCAAACGGAAGCGGCGTCCAATGCACATGCACGCCGTGTGTCACAGTAGCTGCTCGTGAGAGACAGGGTGACACCGCCATGCTGCTGGAGAGACAGAACCACGGTGACGTGGGGCTACTACTGTCACATGCGTTACGTAGTAGTACACCTAGTGTTATAATGCCACAGCCACGTACATGTACAACTCACACTATCGCATTACTCGGATCAGTTCAATCACCACATGAGAATTAGACACATCATAGCTTCACGGGAAAACACAAATGAGAAAAACAAAGGCTCAGGATGCCACTGTCCACCGGCAGACAATTTGCAACTAAATAACAACGTCATTCATGTCGGGAAAAAAGTTACCGATGTCCTAGTGTACTGATTGTTACTGATGTTACAAAAGTTTTTGATATCGTCCTGCAGTTATGTACAAACTTTGATATGGCTCGGATCAGCTGTTAACATTCAAAGACACGTTCATTTTCACTATATATGAGATCTCCAATGTACGCCAGGCATTCAGGACACATGTGCCAGCATGGATGCAGGGATGATAACGGCTGGATACCAAGCTTGCAGTTTGAAGTTAGCACAGCCAATGTCACATCAACTACCAGCTGTCCTGTATCATTCTAAAACTGCAAAGATGTGTCTACAAATAAATTTGGAATGCTAGGATACAAGTATAAAACATGAGTTCGTAACTAACAAAATCTAACAGTCATGAAAACAAGTGTTGTGCCACACATCTTGTTGCAACAGCATTAATTAAGGCCGGCTTGACATCGCGAATTAATTATTTCTTACTGCAAGTGACTAGAATTCAGAGAAACAGAAACAAGAGGGAGCTAATCGCCGCAGCAATGTCTCACCGGTCCACCGTCGAACTGCTCATAACATACACACGTCTACCTCCCAGTACTCTCACTAGGTGGCGCTACCGCAGAGGCATGAGACATGTCAGGACTGGTTTGACGTAAGTTACTATCAACTGCCAATAAGTCAGACCTTAGCTGACTCATAACATGGCTTCCCTACTAGGAAGGAAATTCAAGTAATTTGAAGGGAAAGTGAATACCACATGTAAGAATTAGACAAAACACTCAAAAATGTCCTGGTAAGGTTCAAATTCAACCTGTCAGAATGACTGATACTAACTTTTCGGCCGATCCAGTAAATCGCAGAAAAACATTTTTGGTGAAACAGACGAGTACCGTCCTGGTAAATGCTGGGACTACCTGGACTAGACCGACGCGCGAGAGTGCGGTCGACACTCACGCCACGACGCTCGACAGTCGGCCGACAGCAACAACGGCAGCTCATTCTCCGTATCTGTGAATTCTCGTCATGCGAGCGAGTGAGAGCCGCAGCCACTAAAGCCTGGTAGTGATTGAACCAGCTGCTTCCTGCGCGGCCGCGACAGCGGCTAGTTGTCAATTGACTAGTTCGACCGAGACGAAGCGTTTCAATCGCTCCAGGTACTGTCCGTATAGTTCTACGTCGTTGTGACCGGCGCCCTCTACCCAGAGCGGGTCAACGGCGCGCGGGCAGCGGTCGTAGATGGCGAGGCCGTGCGAGAAGTCGATGACCTCATCATCGGTGCCATGGATGACGAGCACAGGTGAGGTGACGCGAGGCACTTTGTCAATGCTGCAACAAAAGAGAGAGAGAGTCAATGCTGTAACACAGGAGAGAGAGAGAGAGAGAGAGAGAGAGAGAGAGA